GGAAAGCAGTTGAACACATCTGCCAACAATATCTAGCTTCTTCATGTGAGGATGCATACATATTGTCCTACAACATATGCTCGTGTGCACACCCAAAAGAAAGAAAAATTCCATGTTTACTGAAAGCACAAAAAGGAACACAATGATTGTCAAGGTACAACTGTCAAATTGTATGAAATCTGACATGCCCCAAGAGGTGACACTCACCTCCTCAGACCTTGAGAAAAACACAAACTCCTAAAAATACAAACCAGAGCTATGAAAGGGCTACCCACTTACTCTCCAATCAAAGCAAACATCTGTCATAAGGAGATGAACACAGGTCAGATTCTCAGAAAGCAGAGAAAGTGGTGAGGAAGCAGTAAACACACAAATGGATATTTCAGAGGGCCCTGGCAACCCACACCAAGAGGATGTCCTTGGAGCGCCACTGGACACGCTTATCTTGAGGGCTTTGCTGTCCACAAATTTTGGAGATGAGATCTCCTCTTAGAACACATTTACAAAAACAAAGCGAAATCAACGATCTGAACAATTCAGTTCCAGGCACAATCACCCCTACCCCTTCTTACTCTGCACTTTGTCAAATATTTTCTTCTGTACAAATGTTGATAATCAGGGGAAACTATCTATACAAGCAGTAAATGTCAAAATTAAGAGAGACAGAAGCAAAAGGTTGGTGAAGAATAAACTTCGCAGGGGGATCCAAGCTAACGATGAGAAATTTAAACAAATAACTCTTTCTCACGCACACACTTGCATGCACACAAGACAAAGGATCTCCATAAAAAGTTCAAGGAATTGGTTGAAGTGTAGACCCAGGAACGAGTACCTGGGTTCAAACAAAAGAGAAGATAATTCAAAGATACAAAAGTAAGCAGACAAAGCCATGACACGCCACAGAGATGAAAAGCCACTTTGGGAGTAAAAAAGAAAAAAAAAAAAACCAAGATAAGTACTTGACTGAAAATAAAGAAGAAAGGGCTCATTGGCAAGTACGTAAAGGGAGTAAAGGGAAGTTAGATAAAGCGCAGTGTAAAATCAAGGAAAAATGCAAGACATTCTCACATGGCCAAGGAAAGGGAGAGGAGAAAGGGTCTACTTCAAGTAAAACTACTTCTTGACAGACAAACTGATTCTACTTCTGAGAGATCTAAGAAGCTACTGAGTTGCTAGGTTAGGAATAGTTCTCCGACTTCCTGGTCAGGAATTTAACAACAACAACAAAAAGATGGAAGTAGGGAGGCAAGCTTCCTCTGTATTTCAGCTTTCCGCCTTCACTGTGTGCACTGCCCTGCAAGCTAACAGACCACTAAGGATGTCAGCCCTGGGAATGTTTGGTACGGAGAAGTGAAATTATACATTGTCATGAGTCTCTAACTAGTGATACAAATGGAACGTCACTCAATGCTGCTCCATGGGTTCATATCTTTGTCATGTGTGGCCATCTTTGTTTTGTTTCTGTTTTCTTTCTTTCCTGTTTTTAAAATAGGGTCATGTATGTCCCAGGCTGGCCTCAAACTCACTGCGTTGCCTTAAATTTTTGATTCTGCAAAATAACTGAGCAAAATAACCCCACACTTCAAAATAAATCTTGAAAAAAATACGTAGGTCAGCTGGTACTAGTTCTGCTTTGCAGAAGAGATCATTGGAACTCACAAAGGGAAAATCCCAGATCACATGAGAGGATGAAGAGTCAGGATTTGCCTATTTTTTATTTCACATTCACAGAGCAGGTAGCTACACTGAAGGGAGGTGGTACAGCCTAGGTTCAGGGTCCTGGTTTATTCTCATCCCCTATGGCTTTCTGAGCACTTACAGCTACCAAGTTCAAGATGGAAGAAACTCTGGGTTCCACCTTCCTCCTTTGTCCTGTCTGAAGATCAAGCCTGGGGACATGATGAAAAGGAGATTAGCCACACTGCACATTCCCATCGCTGTGAAGCAAACTCTTTGGTATGCACTGAAGGCAGAAAAACTAGCTACTGTCCTCTTGCTAGCTACATGCAGTGAATACACATCGCCCAGTGCTGAAGCTGGGTAGTTGAAAAGCTGCGGGTCACATGAAGACTTTTTAACTTGGACTCTGATAAGCTGGAATAATGTATACACAAGTCTGTGTTTTAAACATCTAATCTAAGCCAGCTGCTGAGAAGCACCAAGTAAACACGACTTCCCAGAAAATCAAGAAGACTAGGAGCCACATCCACAGAAGCCACCATGTCACTGTGGCAGCAACTGTGGAAACACATTCATGAGTAAACACCAGCCTGATAACAGTGTTTGTGAGCAGGGCACAATGGATGACTGGGATCTTTTGAAATTTTATTTGATGTTTTCTAATGACCCATAGTGGAGGGGAAAACTCAAGCGTAATGAAGTTGAATACGGAAAGGAATTTAATGGGAATGTATATTTTTAATGAGAAGTCGGATGAACACCAGTCCTGAAACCACGATTCCTGGACACAATAGACAGTGTACAAATCCCAGGCAGGCTATTTGCATTTTAGAACTGAGGCCGAGAGGCACAGCATGATATTCTGTGGCTCTTGGCAAAGCTTTATCACCACTGGCAAGCTGGAGCTGTACAAGAGTACTGGAGGAGCCATATTCGAATCCCTTTTCAATTATGCAGATGGCAGGAACACTTCTTCAAGTGATATTTTTAAAAACTCAGTTGTAATATTGACCTTGTCAATATATTTAAAGTTAAAAAAAAAAAAAACTTTCAAACAACTCAATTTTCTCCCTGAATCAAATGCTGTCAAAGTAACCATAGCTTTCAAATGAGATTAAAAGCAAGTGTCAATATATTTTCTATCCACAGGGAACAATGAGTAAAACTGTGGTTGAAAATCATTATTAAAAATACAGCTAAGGGTGACTTCAAACTCTGCTCTTCCTGCCTTCCCCATGCTGTCACCACAGCTAGTTTATGGAGTACTGGCTCAAACTCAGGGCTTCCTGCATAGTTCTCTACCAACAGAGCTTTGTGCTCTGACCAAACACAAACAAACCAAACAATCGAATAAACGATCACCAAAGCTCACTGCTCCTTCCCTCCACAAAGACTCTGGAACTCGTGAATAAGGAGCAACACGAGCCAGGAGGCGTGGTCATTTGGAAAGACTCTCATACAGCATATTACAGTCAATCATATTGTCATTCCACCCTCAGGGCTAGGACTGACAGGATGATTGGCTTCGTCATCATCATCTTCAGCTGTCATCATTAGATGACAGATACAAAACAATGACACTGCCAAAAATTATAAACTCACAAAGCTAACCCTGATCCATTCAAATAAAAGTGTGTTTATATATATATATATATATATATATATATATATATATATATATATATATATATATATATATAT